GTCTCCTGAGCTTGTTTTTAATAGAATTGAAGTTCTTACTCTCTTAAAAAAAAACAAACACTGAAAATTTGGAGAGCAATGTGACACACAGGAGCATACATCAGAGATGAAACAAATGCAGAAACAAAACAAAACAAAAAATTATTTCCAACAGAAAAGAAACGCCATTTCCAGGCATATCAGTAGAAAAGTGGGAGAGAACTGGGCTCTGATTGTTCAGCAGAAACAAAGAGGGAATTGGCCTTGAGTTGCGTGTGGGAGGCTTGCGTGCCCATTGGAGGGGGGAGTGATTCAGCAGGCCCTGGCTGACCAGCGGCTGACCCAGGCTACATTTTTACCTCTTACAAAGGAGAACCTTGGCATCACAACTTGAAAACCTTTATTTTGGATGAGGGTGGATTAGGAAAAGATGGAGAAGAGAATAATAGTGTTACCGCCTGGGCTGTGAGTGACTGTGTGGAGCATGACATGGGTCCGAGTTCTGCTTTCCCACTGTGCGAGGCCTTGGGCAAGTCACTAGAGCTCAGATCTTTGGTCCATGAAGAGCAGATAAAAGTTCTTGTCCTCACCACTTCACAGGAATGTTAGGAGGATTAAACAAGGTACTACCTGAAGGACAGAATACTTTGGAAATCCTAAAGCACTCCACACTTGTAAGGGTTTCCTGCCACTGTTCTTGTGATGGGCTGGCTTTCTGGTGTTCAGAGTTCAGTGCTATCAATAACCACATCCATGTAATCACCTGGTGCTTAAGTAGCATCTGGATTCAGGTAGGATAGCACAAAGCACATAGCAGGTTCGCCAACATGAGTGCGACCTGAAAACCAGCATGCTTCTGCCATCTTTCTGTCCATGTTCCCTGCTGCTCCTGGGACACCCAGCCTAGAAAGGGCCCTTTCCCCAGCCTCGGGCTGAGAGCTGCAAGAGTAGATAGATGTGACAAAGGAACCAGTTGATTTTGAGGTGTGAAAGCCGCTGGGAAATCAAACTCCCTCCAATATTAGGACTTTTACTTCCCTGGAGGGGGAATCGGTACAATCTCCAGGTAACAGCTGGCTTTCCGTGTTCCCTGCTGACACTGTAGGTCTTTGGGGACTCATGTAACCAAGTCTTCCAGCAACCCGTGTTTTCTCAAGAGCGCCTCAGTGGCAGGCGCGAGGGGTTGGGTTGTGTAGCCCTGCCTTGTGGTCATGTTCTTCCTCGGGTCTGAAGTGATTTCTTGTTCCAGGGAACAAGGGGAAGCTTCTTAGCCCTCCTCCTGGATGCCACCTCTGAGCCCTTACTCTGGGGCACCTGGGAGCGACATCTGCTGATTGTGGCCTCGCAGAAGCACTGTTACTGTGTAATCCATGTTCACCCATGTTTGTCTCTTTCTTTTTCTGTTTCTTATAAATGATGAGGTGGAATAGAAGGAGACAGGGAGATCCATCAAGGCTCTTGGGAACCCGCCTTGGTGTTGCTTGTGAGGCTTCCTGACTTGCTCTTACCCTCCTTCCCTCAGAGGAGGGAGCCTAGGACACATCTTCCTGCCAGGCTGGGGCTGGGCATGGGGCCTGCTCTGGGTCCAGCGTTGGTTGTGAGAGAGAGGACTTCTGTGAAGCTCTGGAAGAAGAGATCTGCTAGGAAACTGCTGATACAGACATCTGCCCTCCCTCCACACTAGCAGCCTTCCTCTTCAAACTTCTCCCATCTCTGAGCACATTTGCTTTACACGGTTATGTGGATTCCTGCAGACAGGAGGTCTGGATGTTATTCCAAACATAAACGCTGTTATCAAAAACTGCTGGGAGCGTTGTTGGTAATTAATTTTTAGCTTCTGCACTGAGTACCTTTCATTTCTTGCTTTCATCCATTTAGCTAAATTTTAGCCTGGAGGGTGTTTTTTGCATGTGGGGTTGGAGGTGAAATGTTTCCTCTTTGCAAATCTACTCTAGTGAAGAGGTAGACTTAAGGAACTCTCACTGCCCTCATTTTCATTTCCCTCCCTCTTTCCCTCTTTCCTTTTCTTCTCTCCCTCTTTCCCTTCCTCCTCCCTTTCTTCCAGCGAAGAAAACAGACTTTAACATCAAGAGATTTTGTGCTTCTGGCCTTTTCTTGATCTACCAACCCTTACTTTCCCCCAAATAATCCCAGTCCTTTACCCCATGTGTTTCCCTTTCTAATTCTAGAACCTTCTTTAGCCCTCTCTAAGATTTCTTCTTCTTCACATTGAAGTTTTTCTAATGCTAAATCCAATGTCAAATGCCTTTTCCAGACACAATCCACTGTTTTTCACCTGGGCAAAGGATCAGAAGAATTGGTGGGTGAAGATGGGGCAGCAGAGACAGTGGTGGAACAAGGGGCAGAGATAGGTAGGCCCCCGGCCCTGACTCAGCCTTGGGTTGCCTGTCCATCTGTATCAAGGACTCAGGACCATCCCTATCTTCTTCCTTCCCTACTAAATAAAGATTGAAGGCTTTCTTTAATCTTCAACTTCTACTTCTGGATTATGCTTGCAAAGTGTTCATTTTTCAAGTAAAGGGAGTTATAGAAACAAAGTTCTGGATTGTGATTACTCATGGAAATAGAGATTAAATACTTATCCCCAAGACATACAGAATTATCATCCACTTAAAAACAATTTAAAAGGTTTTAGCTAGTTGTTGTTATTATTATTATTTTAGTTATTATTTTTATCAAGGGATTTCCCCCACCTCAGCGCTGTTGGGACTTTAGGTCCAGTGTTCTCTCCTCTGCTCTAGGCTATTTCATTCTGCAGCTGCCAGCCTGGGCTGGGACTGTTACAGGAGTTGCTCTGGCCCCAGCAGAGATGTTAACAGACATGTGGGGGATGTTTGTAGGAGAGACAGGTCAGCTGTGTGCAGAGAGAAGGTTCCGAATTTTATAGGGGTTTGGTTGTGGCTGTGCCTCAGCATTGGGTGTCTATGAATTTAGCCATGGTCAGCCTTCTCATAAACCAGGGGAAAGCCTGTGTGTGTGTGTGTGGGAGGGGGTGCGAAGTGGGGGAGGGGTGTGTGTGGGTAGTGTATGTGGGTGCATGGTGTGTGTGAGGGGGTGTAATGTGTGTATGTGTGAGTGTGTGTGTGTGAGTGTGTGTGTGTGCGCGCGCTCACGCGTGTGTTTAGATGAACATTATACTCTGTGGAGAGGAGACCCCATAAGCATCCTACAAATTATATATACCTAGAAAATAAAATTTTGCTTTAAGAGATTTGAGTCACCTGGACATAGTAAAACATAAGCCACTAGAATAACCCAACTTTAAAAGACACATAGATTCAATGAATTTGCCAGATTTTCAAAAAGGAAAACAGTCCCAGCGATAACTGAAAAATACAGGCTTATGTGAGCTTTGAGCATGGCCTTTGGGAGCGTACAAACAAAAGTCTCATTGTCTGCAAGGATCCTGCTGCTTCAGGGGGTTCCCCAGGCCACTCTCTGTTGTTTCTAAGATTGAGCAGGCCCCTTTTTTTGTCACAGAACAGTCCCCTCCATGCCCTCCTACCACCGCCCCTTCACAATTACCCTGCGTTTGTGGAGAGCCTTCAAAGACTTTGTCTTATCGAAGAAATGAAGCAATCGTGACAATCATTCCATCTCAAGCCCCTGCTTTCGCTTCCCTCAGACCAATGCTGATGAGAGTTAATTATTCATTGGGGCCTGCCTAATGGCTCCCCTGTGAGATGTTTCTGCAGAATGCAGACGATTAGTGGCAGAGAGAGAGAGAGAGAGAGAGAGAGAGAGAGAGAGGCTGCAACCATGCTGTCTTTCTTTCCTGGGAACTTCTTTTCTGAAGCAACTGAATGAGACCTTTGCAGGCGAGGGTGGTGGCCTCTCCTTCAGAATGCCTGGCCCACTTCCCAGTGTGAAACATTCCCCAAATATGCGACTCTGTGAGCATCCCAGCAGCCGGAACTTGGAGCCGCTTGCTGCCAGAAGAGCTGGCATCCCATGGGGATGTCGGGAATGAGGGCACAGTGCTCCGGCCCCTCAGGCAGGTCCTGGCTTTGCCAGATGCCAGGAAGGCCCAGCCCCTGGTTACATCGTCGGGGGAAGAATCTAGCCAACAGTCCGTCTGGGACTAGAGCTTGAAACCTCTCTCTCTCTCTCTCTCTC